CACCAAAAAAAAAAGGTTGAGAAGTTAGAGGGTTAACATGTTGTGGAGTTGTTAACCAATGTCATAAAACATGTGTACTACTGTTTCATGAGAAATGATTTGCTCTGTAAGCCTTCACCTGAAGTACAATAAAATATTAAAAAAAAAAAAACGCTATACAGTTAAAAAGTAACTTGACTGAATTCATTGCAATGGTCAACTCATTGAAGCCCCCTCACCTTTGCGCCATCATCTAGGACTGGAATTCCTGTTGGTTATTTACCAGGACTTGCTCAAGAGCATACCATTGTGTTTGTATCATGGCAGAGAGCATTGCTGGCCCTCTTGGCTGGAGTTGCTGGATCAGCAGACATGAATGTATAAGTCAGTTCTCTCAAAACGGAACCGAGACGAGACCTGTTATCTATTAACATAAGCCATCCTCGCCCAGTAACTGCTCATGTTGGATCCAGTTGCATATTGGCTGAATGTGGCAAGAGTTAGACTTGACAGCCTACCCTCATTTATCAGAGATAGTGTACTCCCAAGAGACCTGCCAAGATGTCAGCAAAGGTGTTGAAATGATACGGGCCTTAGAGCTTAAAGAACCTTGAGCGTGGGCACCCTCCTGACCGTGTGAACTTTCCTTCCGGCCGGCACATTCTCACTCAGGGGAGCTGGCATCAGTTTCATTTAGTGCCCTGCCAGTACCCTTCCACTGCAGCACTCACTTTTCCTTGTGTCGTTTGCTTGGCATCTGTGGGTCTTTGCTCTGGACTATTGGTGTCCCTGTTTTGTTGATGCGCTAAGCACATGCTTACCTTGCTTATTAGATAATCCGTCCCTGAGCATACATATCTAATGCTGGGGTCAATTCAATAAGCAATACGGTAGGTATCATTGAAGATAATGCCTAGACATCCTTTCTGAATTGGCCAACGAAGTTAATTCACACGTATGCATTTGAGATTCAATGACTTCCATTTAGACATCATCTTGTACCAAAAGATTCTGTTTTGTAGTCTTTAACTTGGAAAATTTACCTGTTATAGATACACTTGAATTCATCATCATAAATACTATTTTGGGAAGGAGAGCATAAAGAATGTCTTAGCTGATACACACAGAGCTGAGTCTAATTTTATAATCTAGTGTAAATTGTAAAATAGATTAGGTCCATGATTCTTTTTCATCACAAGATCATTAGCTCTGAAAGCCATGATTGTGCCCTGCAACATTTCTCATGAGAACAGAGATAAAAAAATTTACTTCCTGTTTTTTCTTGGAAAAATACTGGAAAATGTTGTCCAGCAAAAGAAGGCATAAGCTACGACAGAAAAATATGGGATCCAGAAAATAAGTGAATTCAACCTAGGTCTAGAAAAGGGATAGAGTGACAGACCGAGGTTTGTAGCAGGAAGATCATACTATAAAGTGGATAAAATGATGATGCCTCTGGAAGACTATGATAATTTAAAAAGAAAATTAGACAAGTGAAAAAATATAAGGTGGTTATAAACTCAAGGAAAAACCAAAAGATGTACAACAAAGAAAACTTTATCACAGTACAGCTAGTTCTACAATAAATCAAAAAAACTAAACTCATTGCTGTCGAGTCTGTTCCGACTCATGGTGAGTCCATGTGTTACAGAGTAGAACTGAGCTCCATAGGATTTTCTTAGCTGTAATCTTTGTGGAAGCAGATCGCCAGGGCTGTCTTCCATGGTGCTGCTGGATGGGTTCAAACAGCCAACTTTACAGTTAATAGCCGAGTGCAAACCATTTGCACCACCCAGGGACCTAACTCTATAATAATTGGTATTTAACCAATCATAATGATATAAACACTGGTTACTGATTCATGTAAAATCACGGTATCACTATTTGGGAGAATGAGGAAGAAGTGAGGATCCTCAGCCATCATCAAAGGAAGGCAAAGTCCTCAACTCCTCAGACAAAGATTAGACTGGAGCACGGGACATAAAATGATTATCCGTGAAGACTGTGCTTCTTAGCTCAAGTGAGACTAAATGGGCAGTTTCTGTCCAGAGGTGAGATGAGAAGGCAGAGAGGGTTAGGAGCTGGTTGAATGGACATGGGAAATCAGGGGTGGAAAGGAGGAGTGTGCTGCCACAGTATAGGGAGAGCAATTAGGGTCCCATAACAATGTATGTATAAATTTTTGTAGGAGAGACTAACTTGAATTGTAAACTTTCACTTAAAGTACAATAAAATAAAAAATAAAGGAAGGCAAAGTCTAAATTATCATCAACAAACAGCAATAGTATTTAGTATGTAAAGGTAACTTCTAAACCTTTTAGTCCTAACTGAGTTTTTAACCAAGGGTGGGTGTTTCTTTGATAATTTTTTCTTTAGTTTATTTAAAGAATTTTTTTACAAAAAGAAACTAACAGAACAGATTCAATGGTATTGCGAAGTTACAAGTCTTCATCCCCTTTTTTCTTGGTTCTTTGTAAACAAAGATGCTATTTAATGTGTTCTGTTCTTCATTTTCTCTCTTGTTCGTTTCCCAGGTCTCTTCTGCAGAAAGAGAAACACCACATCTGGTCATTTAGCAGCTTGGCTTTTGGCCCCAGGATCAGAATGCACATGGTGAGAAAGAGAGAGGATAAGTGTGGGGTGGGAGAAGAGGCTGATCCTTGCCCCTGCCCAGGCCCCTGGCTCACTTACATTTGATCCTTTCTTTCCAGGCCTCTTGGGACCCTTGCCATGGGCTGTCTTGGCCCGGAAGCTGGATATATCATCATAGCTCTCACGGGTGTTCCACTTGGAGCCTTTCTTCTTTCCACCAAAACCAAACTTCTGGTTTTTATAGCGTCGTTTTGCACTGGGCCTGGAAAAAAGTGGCCCTAAAGATGACCCACAGCACTGCAGATCATAATGAATCTTAAGAGACCAAGAATAGCTTCAGTTTCCTTTCTGCCAGCAAAGCCCCTTAAGCATTGTGTTGACCACAGTATCATCCTTGGCCCTACATTCTTATTCTATACTCCCTAAGCAAGCTCATCTATTTGTGGTTTTAACCACCAGAGTGGGAAAATGAACAAAGCATGCAGGAAAGGATCCACATACTTATGTGGCTCACTGTTTGCCTTCGAGAAGCTTTCTATTTTTAACAAGATCTTGCTGAATTACCTTCAATTGTTTCTATTCCTCTGAAGAATGTATGCATGTAGTTAATACTTAAATGCAATAAATTTTAAAACTGGTCATCGCACAGGAATCTCAAATTCATCATATCCAAAATTGACATGCCATCTCCCTTCCTAGACTGATTTCATCTCCTGTATATATGGCCTGACTTGAGGTTGGTGGTACCACCATCTACCATCCGGGCACCTACACCAGAAACCTGGGAGTCAGCCTTGACTCTTGCTTCTTTCACTCTCTTCTTTTCACTATCACCCAATTCAATTACTGGCCCCTGCTAATTTAACCTCTTGAATATTTCTTCAGTCCATTTTCTCTTCTCCCTCTTCACTACCATTTCAGGTTATTATTACTGCTCACCTGGACTTTCCTAATAGTCCCCTAATCAATTTCCCCACCTTCCTCCAATCCATCATTTATACAAGTAGCAGCATAATCATTTTAGAACGTGCATATGACCTGCTCATTATTTTCAGTAAAAGCCGTCAGTGTCTCCCCAATGCCTACAGGAGGAAGTCCAAGCTCCTCAACAGGGCAAGAAAACATTGCCTCCAACTCGGCTCAGGTCCCCCTCTCCAGCGACACCTCACCACTCCTTGCCTCACATATTTGCAGTGAAACCAAGTATTTGCTTTTCCTCTGTGCCTTTGCTCATCCATGTTCTTCCTCCTTCCCAAAACCTGCTCCTCGCCTATTCTTCTGGTTAATTCTTACTCATCCTTCAGACTCAGCTCAGGTAGGATCCCTGTTCCAGGAAGGCATCCCCAAATCCTGATCCCCAGACTGTCAGGTATTTCTTCTAAGTGCTTCTACAACAAAAAACCAGTTGCCATCAAGCCAACTCCAATTCATGGTGATCCTATGTGTGTCAAAGTAGAACTGTGCTCCATAGGACTTTAGTGCCTAATTTTTCAGAAGTAGATCACCAGGCCTTTCCTCTAAGGCACCTCTGGATGAACTCAAACCTCCAACCTTTGGGTTAATGGCCAAGCGTGTTAACCATATGCACGACCCAGGAACTCCTGTGCGTTCATAGTACTCTCCAAATCCTCTATCATTGCACTTAGCATATTACATGGACATTATCATTGCCGCCAAGGCCTGGTGTCAAGGAGTGTATAAACGTGGACAAAGATAAATAATATCCAGCATTATCACTTTTAACCTCTAAAATAGTATGAGGCACATACTGTTTTCTCGTTTTAATCTATAAAAAAATGAGCATTTAGAAAGGTAAAGTAACTTGCTCAAAGCACCTTCCTAATGTGTGGCAGAGTCAGGATTTCAACTCTAGGCCAACCGTGACACTGTGATGGGAAATCAACTATTACTAAGCATTCACTGAAAATGTACCAGATGCCAAGTTACCTTATTTTAATCTTCAAAGACTGATATGGCTAAAAGGGCTGATTCTGTAGCACCAAGTCCTGGCCTCAACTCTGAGACTGCTCTTTGTGGGTACTGTGCGTACTCATAAACATCGGCCCATTATACACCACAACACAAAGCAAAAGCAAAACCAAAAACCTTCTCACCCCTTCTTCATCTGCTGGCCTTTAGCTTTTTCCTTTGCGGCCCGTGCAACAGGTTTCTGATCTCCCTCAAGGAAATCCAGTTTATCAGAGAAGCCTGTGAACGAAGAAGTACTTCGATCAGCACCGTCACATTTCAAGAAGAAAGTTTAAACCTCAAAATAAAATGTTACTTACTAAAGTGATTTTAAGAGGCATGCCTTGCTCCCCACACCATTCCCAAACGTCAGGTCCAATAAATCCAAAGCACAGTGCGTTACAATTGACTCTAAGGTACTCCTGTTACCTACACCCTCAGGAGTTAGACGTACTGACCTTTCTGGTATTTCTTAATGGCATTCATCATATGCGTTTTCTCCCGCTGCCTCTTCTGAAGAACCTCTGTTTGTACCTGTGATATGGACACAGGACAGTTACACGCACTTTAAACCACTGCTACAAATGTCTACATTCTCTCAGTAACAACACTGTGATTAACACCACTGCCAATGAACATTTACTATGTCCCAAAAACTACGCTAAAGACTCCAAGTATTCTCAGTTTATCTTCCTAACAACCCAGTGAAATGAAAATACTCATTATCCCCTAAACTGAAGCACAGAGAGGTTAAGTAGTTGGCCCAAGTCACACAACAAGCAAGTGCAGGGCTGAGATTCACATCCAGGGAGTCTGACTCCAGAGCCTGCGTTTTTATCCCATCATTCAATTTGTACCAACCTAATTGTAGCAAATTATGTTTAAGTTGATGTCCAATTTTCTCTATTGATTTGAGCAGATTAAATATCCTCCCTACTGTTACTAGCAACGAAAGTACCAACAGATGAGAGAAAAATCAAACCACCTCCCCAAAAAAGAATAAAGGAAAAAAAAATTTCAGCACTATTAACATTTTGGATAGGATAATTCTTTGTTGCGGCGGGCTGTTTTGTGCATTGTAGGATGTTTAGCAGCATCCCTGGCCTCGACCCATTAGATGACAGTAGCATCCTCCCCCAGTTGTAACACCCCAAAGTGTCTCCAGATATTATTTGAGAACCACTGCTCTAAGGTTTCCTCAAATTAGAAATAGTGAACTAACAGGCCACAGTGAGTCTCGCTTTGTTTTTGCTAAACTAGTTGTTAGTTGCCACCAAGTCAGCGCCGACTCATGGCAACCTTGTGTATAACAGAATGAAATGCTGCCTAATCCTGTGCCATCTTCAGTTGGTATTTTTGAGTCCACTATTGTGGTTATTGTGTCAATCCATGCCATTGAGGGTTTCTACTTCACCAAACATGATGTCCTTTTCTAGTGATTGATCTTTCCTGATGACACGTCCAAAGTAAGCAAGATAACGTTTCACCATCCTTCTAAAGAGCATTCCGGTTTTATTTCTGATTTGTTCATCCTTCTGGCAGACCACAGTATATTCAACAGTCTTTGCAACACCACAATTTAAATGTGTCAATTCTGCTTCTTCTTTTTTCATTGTCCAGCTTTCAGATGAATATGAGGTGACTGAAAAGACCATGGCTTGGGTCATGCATACCTTAACCATCAAAGTGACATCTTTGCTTTTTAAAACTTTAAAGAGGTCTTTTGCAGCAGATTTGCCCAACGCAATATGTCATTTGATTTATTGATTGCTGTTTCCACAGACACTGATTGTTGATCCAAGTAGAATAAAATTGTTGACAACTTCCATTTTTTCTCCATTCATTGTGATGTTGTTTATCAGTCCACCTGTGAGAATTTTCATTTTCTTTGCATTAAGGTAAAAGACTACTGAAAGCTGTAGTCTTTGACCTTTATCAGTAAGTGCTTCAAGCTGACTTTGTTTTCGGCAAGCAAGGTTGTATCGTTTGCATATTGCCGATTGTTAACATGTCTTCCTCCAATCCTGATGCCGTGTTCTTCTTCCTATCATCCAGCTTCTCAGATTACTTGTTCACCACACAGATTGAATAAGCAAAATGAAAGGATACAACCCGGCCACAATTTTAAACCATGCAGTAACCCCTTGCTTTGTCTGAACAACTGCCTCTTGATCCATGTACAGGTTCCACATGAGCACAATTAAACATTTTGGAATTCCCACTCTTCATAACATTATCCATGATGCGTTTGCTAAACTAGGTTACATTAAGTTATGCCTGCGTCTTTGAGGTCATCTCAGCTACCCTGTGAGACCCACCCAGATCAGAGAAACAAAAAATTGCCGCGGACCTTTTGCAGAGGACAGGACACTAACCTACTCTTTCTTTGCTGGGGATGTATCAGTGAAATGACTCCATATGTGGACAAGAGCTCCACAAATGTTCATGCCCAAATGCTGGCAAAGTCTTAACACCCATGCTGAATCTGCTTACACACATTTCTAACCACAACCCTAGCTTTAATTCCTGTCATCCTCTTTCTGAGGTGGTCCACGACATAAGAAAGGAAAATCAGGAAGTTTCACAGCATGCCGTATCTGGTTTTACAGTAGAATTCAGACATTCCTAGTTCATACACAGGTGCCACATCTTCCCTCTTGGATTGGATGACACTCCATTAATACAACTCCTTAGAAGGACTTCACAATCGTCTAGACTGGTGATTCCCAAACCAGGATGCATATCAGTCACCTGGGGAGCTTTTGGGGGGAAAGAGGAAAATATACAGGTTCCCAGAGATCCTGAAGTCTAGAAATCTCTTTTGAAAAATTTCCGCAGATGATTTTGCTGTGAGGTAACCACTGATCTAGGCCCAACTCTTTACTTAAAGATGTGAAAACTAAGGCCCAGGGAGGTAAATGACTCAGAAGCAGTTACCACACTGCTCCTGGTAACCCACTGGTGTCCAGGTAAGATCGTGCTTGTGGGTACTAGCACACATGCTCCACTGGGAGATGATAAATATATTATCTCACACACACACGGCATGGAACCAAATCAGACCAAGGCAAACTGATCTGCCAAACACACCCCCTGCACACTTTCCTTCTCACCTTCTTTCCATATTTCCTAAGTGCTCGCAGTTGCTTAGCCTTTTCAGACTTCTCCATGGCAGCCTGCTTAGTCTGCAGCTTCTGTCGAATCTAAACATAAAACGTTGTCAGTTTATGTGAATCTGAGATAACTGCTACTTAGGGCAACCAGAGCGAGGAACAAATATTCCCAGCTCTACAAACAGTAGAGCTCAAAGGAACCTTGTAAATCATCTATTCTAACCCCGTATTTTACATATGAGGATAATAAGGCCCAAAGGCTAGCGCTTTGTCCCAGGTACTAAAACTGTCAGTGGCGGAGCCAAAGCTTGAAAGCAATCTTCCCACTTTCAGTCTGATATTTGTTCCATTACACAAAACTGCCACCTTGCAGACCAGGAAAGACCAACTTCTCCTCATGCCCACTGTCTACAGGCTCAGGTTAAACCAGTATGTAGCCTCACAGTTCCCTTCTCCCATATACCACATACACTGTGAAAACACAAACAGATACCAAGTACCTAGCTTCTGCCCACCAACACACACATTTCAGTTAAAGGATGAGAAGTTAGTTGTCAGTGTGAATGTAGAGATGTGTCTGGGTTCATTTCTAGATTAGCTTCCCTGGGTACCACCAAGACAAGAGCTCCCTAAAACCCAGCCTGAGACCCAAGGGAGCTAGTTAAAGACATCTTGGATTAGATGTTGGCAATTTTCTTCCTCCCAAAGCTAAATGAGTAACAAGTTCTACTTGACTTTAAATTACATTATGTCTGAGATACACAGACTTTTAGAGATTAACCCTCATTTTACCGAAGAGTTAACTGAGGCCCAGAGAGAGAAGTAACTTGTCTACAAGTTATAGCACTGCTCACTGGCAATAGGAGGCCAAGAACTGTCACCCCTTCTACACACCATGCCATGACCACGAGGACTAGGAAATACAAATGGCCATCTTTACCTAAGGGAATCACATTTCTTACCGCACTCCCCCGTTAATTACTTAAATTAGAAAAAAAATCATTCCTACATTCAGCTAATTGGTGGTGACAGGATGAGTCTAAAGTGGACAATCTCTGGAAGAGACAATAATTGTCCCTGAAAACCAATTTCCCATTATCAGGCTTATAGCCATCATCTTTAAACATCATAAACCCGTTGCTGTCAAGTTGATTCCAACTTATAGAGACCCTACAGGACTGAGTAGAACTGCCCCATAGGCTTTCCAAGGCTGCAAATCTTTATGGAAGCAGACTGCCACATCTTTCTCCCGTGGAGCGGCTGGTGGGTTCAAACCACCGACTTTCCAGTTTGCAGCCAAGTGCTTAACCACTGTATCACGAGAGCTCCTATAATAGGACGTACAGGCAGCTAAATATACTAAGTACGAAGCCCCTGGCTTTCCAGAGAAAAATTTTCCTCTTTCTTACCTTCTGCATCTGCTGATCTGACTTGGCCATCTCTGCAAAATAATCAGTAGGCCGACTGGTCGGGACTTTAAGCTTATGGAGGCGGGGTAACACTGCAAGCACTGCAGCCTGGGCCTGGCGGTAGCTGAGAATGTAAGACAAAGTGTGAAATGAGCTGAGGGAGTGGCCTTATACTTCTCACCACCTCTCATTATCCAAGATCGGAGGACTCTCAACATCTGACCTCCACCAGCAAGGATAAACAACAACAAAAAACTGTAATAAAACCTCATAAATTTGGGATCTTGGAGAAATTTAGCTGTACACCGTTTTTTTAAAAAGGGGAAGTATTGCTAAAAAATAAATTAACAGTTTAAGAAGATGACCACTCAAAATCAATGCCAATTATAAATTCTTAAGTAGCCACTAACATCTACATAAAAACCTTTCATAAGCAAATTTTTGTTATAAAAGCTGAATACACAAATTTTAGCTTACTACTTCTCCCCCACTCTCTAGCACAACGGCCCCCAACTTCTCCCACATTGCAAAACAAACATACAAGCTCATCTCCCGCTGAAAGTCATCTTCTGGGTCAACAGCTTTCTGATCCTTGTTCTGAGGAGCTGACTGAGGTCCACTGACTTCCGGCACCGGACCCAGAGTCACATCGAGCCTTTCAACCCATTCCAGATCCCGCTTGAATTCAGCCAAACACTGCTTCAGGCCAGTCTAGGAAATCCAGACACTGGGCTCATAAGAAAGGTATCCTGAGATTGTCCCTCACAAGCCCAAGGCCAATGGCTAGGCCAATGGACAAAACGCTAACCCCTCACCACCTGCATGTCATTTACCCTCGTGGCAATGTGCAGTGCACATTCTTTCCGTGAGGCAAGAACTCAGTCTCCCAACTACAGCAGTGCCTTGTGCACATCCCATCTCGGGATACCCTCGATCCAGCGACCCAGCTCACCACATCGTTAGCGGCCTTCTTCGGCCCCTCTAGAACGACATTGAGGCCTGGCTTCAGGAGCCCTCGGGAAAACGCATCCTGCAACTGCAGAACACAATCGACAGTTAGGACCAGTGAAGTAAGGGCTGCTCTACCGTGCCCTGCCCCGCGAGCTTCCTTGACACCTACCTCTCTGTCTGTGACAAAGGAATCATCAGAATCCGACTCCGAACCCGAGACCGGGGGAGTGTCCATTTCTCAGCACGCACGACCAAACACCTACCGGAAGAAGCAATGGACCCTGAAGCCTGCTCGGCTGGAAAAAAAAGGGGCTGTCGCCCCTGCTGCCTCCTTTCAGCCCCTACGCTCACTCCGCGGCTCCACGTGGACTCCAACCGCATCGACACCGGGAACTTGCTGCTCCAGCTAAACTTTTTGATCGGGACTTCCGCTTCCGGCCGCAGGCTCACACTTCCGGTTTGTCGTTGCTATAGGAACCGCTCCGACGTGTGGAAGCGTCGGAGTTGCTTGCGGTCCGTAGAGGTAGTACCCCTGGACACCTGCGTAGTTTGGTGACTCAGAGAGTAAAAGCGAAAGGTGGGAAGGTGCCTGGGGTCGTCTGGAGGAGCTAGAACCCGCGAGGGAGCAAAGGACAGGGGAGAAAGAGTCACGCGGTGGGATGGGGGGGGAGGAGGATCCCAGGGACGGGGGTGGGGGCGGGGCGCTCCACTTAAGGTGCTCTTGGTCTTTAGCAGCAGTTTGGCCCGGACCATGTCCACCGTGGTAGCTCAGTCGCTGCATGTTTTTGGTCTTCGAGCCAACGTGGCAAACAATATCGTCTTCTTTGATGAACAGACTATTATATTCCCTTCAGGAAATCACTGTGTGAAGTACAATGTGGATCAGAAATGGCAAAAATTCATTCCAGGTAACTCCTTTCCATCCTGACACATAAATTAACTTTATGCCCTGAATATAACCCTATAATCACAACGCAAAGATTGAAAAGGAAGTCTTATGGCCAATTTGATTCTTTTTTTCATAAATATAGAAGAAATGTTTATCATATAGGTTAATCACACATAACCCATTTTTGTCTGGTCGATTCTGACTCATAGCGACCCTGTAGGACAAAGGTTAGAACTGCCCCCTAGGGTTTTCAAGACTGTAATCTTTACGAAAGCAGATTGGTTGCCACGTCTTTCTGCTGTGGAGTGGCCAATGGGTTCAAACCACCAACCTTTGGGTCAGCAGCCCGGCGCTTAGCCACTGCACCACCAGGGCTCCAATCACGCATACGTAGTTAAAATCACATATAAAATAATGTTGATTTGAAGTACTTTTTTTCACTTTAATTTTGTGAAAAAGTTATTTTAAAGAACCTCTTTTCGTACATCTTCAAATCTTTGTCTTTGTCACCATCAGAGCCACTTTTTGAGTTGTCTACCATGGGAGAAAAGATTGGTGATCTACTCCAGTAAAGATTTCAGCCTAGGAAAGCCTATAGGGCAGTTCTGCTGTGTCCTATAGGGTAACTGTGAGTCAAAATCGACTGGATGGCACACAAAAACACAGTTTCCCAGGGTTCACACACCACCTTCATTTCTCTAAATTGTTTGAGATACAGCTTCTTTTGAATCCGTCTATTATGAAGACACTGGAAATTTTATCCCAAGTCACCAATAACCATTTGTATAACTTTACAACATTTGTTTTTGTTTACATTGGTTTTGTTGATAATATTGGTGATTTCCACAACTTAATCACCTATCTCTTTTTCCCTTTGTTGCATTAAAAAAAAAAATATTGTGACATATGCCTACAAAAGAGTGTACACTACATATACATAATATTTTTAAAAGTACAATGAAGATCTCAATACCCATCCCCTAAGATAGGAAATAGAATATTTCCAAATATTGAATTTTATTGCATACATTTTCTGTATTTTATATATGATCATATGAATTTTTAATATTAAACCAATTATTGTTTTATACAGATATTTGTTTATATTTGCTCAAATACTTACCAATCTGCCCACCGTTTCATTTTACAAATCACATACTCCCTCCAGATAAGATCGTTTTCCTCCTGCCTGAAGTACAGCCTTTATCATTTCATTTAGTGACAATCTGTTGGTGATAAACTCTTCAGTTTTTGTCTAAAAATGTTTGTATTTCATTCTCATTTTTGAAAGATAGCTTTGCTGGGGATAGAATTTTTGTCAGCACGTTATGAATCTTATTCCATTGTTTTTTGGCTTCTGTTTTGTTGATGTCTTAAGAAATTAGCCATCAAGGTCTTCTTTTTGTAGGTGATTGGTGTGTTTTGCTTTGTTTCTGGGTGCTTTTAAGATCTACTCTGTCTCTATCTTTCTTATATATGTGTCTTTTATTTTTTTTATCCTGCTAGGAATTCTTTGGGATTCTTGAATCTGAGAATAGGTATCTATGAATGAGTCTAGAAAATTTTTATCAGTTTTAGTATCTTTTTCATTCTTTCTGCTTACTCTTTCTGGAACTCCAAACCATGTCAATTCCATCCTCTGTGTCTCTTAACTCTCATTTGTATTTTTCATTTTTTAGGCTCCGTATATTGCATTCTAGATAACTTCTTTAGACTTATCTTTTAGTTCATCGATTCTCTTCTCAGATGTTACTGTTTAATGTACCTATTAAGTTTTTAAATTTTAATTGTATGTTTTGTTTCATGCTCATATTCTCATACTTCTCTGGTCTGCATCCCTTCTTTTCCACTCCTGACTCCATTCCATACCACTAATGGGCTCATACAGGAAGCCTGCATGTTCAAGCTCTACCCATATCTCCCATAAACAACCATGTTTGACCATTCCTCAGGCTCGGATCAAGGGCTAGAGACAGATCTAAAGAAGAAGTCAATGCAGGTCTTGTCATCAGACTCAGGACAACCTGGGGAGGGAATTCCAGAGTCTCAGATACCTGGAGCATGATATAGAAGAGGCGATGCCAACTCTGAGTGGCCTGGAGATTCCATCTCATGGAAAGGTTACAGCCAGAGGAGGACTGCAGTGGGGTACTCTAAAATGTGGGGTCCAGGGGAGGAGCCCTGCTGGCCAAGTCTAAGGGCATTGCTGGTGAGGTGGAAAGTATAAAGGTCATGAAACCAGGAGATCTGGATTTGAATATGGTTCTTAATTTATTACCTCACAAAGTCTCAGTTTCCTCATCTGTAAAATGGAGATGATGCTCAGCTTGTTCAACTTACAGTCATGAGGATCAAACTAATTCATTTGTTTACTCAACAAAAATTTTTTAAGCACCTACTGTGGGTGGTACAAACAGTTAACAGGCTCTGCTGCTAACCAAAAGGTAGAAGGTTTAAGTCCACCCTGAGGCGCCTTGGAAGAAAGGCCTAAAGATCTACTTCTGAAAATCAGCCATTGAAAACCCTATGGAGCAGAGTTCTACTCTGACACATTGGGGTCCCCATGAGTCAGTCAACTACAGCAACTGGTTTTGGTGTGCCAGACACAAAATAGACACACACACAAAACTTTGCCCCCATGGTGCATCCATTCTAGTGGAGGAAAACAAGAATAAAAACATAAAGTAGTACAATAGATAATGTATTAGATAGTGATAAATACTAATGAGAGAAAAATAAAGCATGGAAAGAGGAACTGTTGGGGAAAGGGTGAAATTTTAGATAGGGCAGCTGGGGAGGGCTTACTGAGTACCATATTACACAAATAAGGCCCGTGTTATACTTTTTTTTTTTTGGCCAACAGCGCCTCCCCCAAGTATTTTTGTAAGCATGTTATGTTAATTTTTTTTACAGCAACTTGTAAAAAAAATTAGCGTAGCACACTTATGAAAAGGGGAGGGGAGCAGTTGGCAGAAAAACAACGTGAGTTATTTGCATAAAAATACAGTAAGTGATGTTTTAACTAAAACTGAAGAAAAGTGAGAGGGCTTGCCATGCTGATGGAGTGAGGGCAGAGGGCATAGCAAACAGAATAACAAAAGCTCTGAGTTAGGAGGATGTGTAGTGTGTTGAGAGAATAGCAGAGGCCAGTGTGGCTGGAGCAGAGTGAACAGGGTTGTTGGGAGCAAGAGGTAAGGCAGGGAAATAATGGGGAGCAATATCACATAGGGTTTTATAGGTCATAGAGTCTTACTCTAAGTGAGATGAGAAGCTATGGGAAGATTCTGAGCAGAGTAGATGATCTGACTTACATTCTAACAGGTTCATTCTGGCTACTATACAGAGAATAGACTTGAGGGACAAGAAAGGGAGCGGGGAGACCAGTTCAGGGAATGTTGAAATAATCCAGGCGAGAAAAGGTGATAGCTTGGAGTGGGGTTGTGCCAAGCAGTTGGGCTGGTGAGAAGACGTCAAATCCTGAATTATATACTTTTGAAGTAGAGGTAACATTTCCTCATAGAAATTTACTACATGTGGGGTGGAAGAGAAAAAGAACTAAGGTGTTTGGCCTGAGCAGATGGAAGGATGGAGTTGCTGTTAATTGAGATAGAAAAGGCTGCAGGAGGATCAGGTTCTGTGGAGAAAATCAGGAGCTTAGTTTTGGACATGTCAAGATTGAGATGCTACTAGGTACTCAAATGGAGATTCAACTAAGCAGTTTGGTTTGGGGTCTGGATTCAAGGGAGAGAGGTCAAGGCTGGTAATAGAAAGTTGAGTGTCCTTAGCATATAGATGAAATTCAAAGCCATTAGAATGGATGAGATTCTCTAAGGAGTAAATATATTAATGAAAGAGAAGGGGCCTAGAGAGTGAGCTCTGGGGGTACTCCGACATTTACTGCAGGGGAAATGAGGAAGAACCAGCAAAAGAGACTTTGAAGGAGTGGCTCAAAAGATACGAGAAAATCCATGTTTCAGTGAGGAGGGTCTTAGTTACCTAGTGCTTCTGTAACGGAAATGCTACAAGTAGGTGGTTTTAAAGAACAGAAATTTATTTTCTTATACTTCTGGAGATTGAAAGTCCAAATCAGGGTCTCAGCTGTGTTGATTCCTTCAGTGAGCCTCTCCCCAAGTTTGGTGTCTGCTGGAGATCCTTGGTGTTCCTTTGCTTGTAGATGATGCTCACATTGCATCCGTCGTCCCCTGTGTATGTGTCTTTGTGTCTTGTTCAGTCTTTTTATAACTCAGAAGTGATTAGGTTTAGGATCCACCCTACAATGGTATGACCTTAACTGATTGATGGACTACATTACATTGCATTGCATTATGGAGGGTAATCTGTTCTACCCAAGGCCAGCAGATTTAATTGCATGTAACTATTACAAGACAGCAACTAGAATACTGTTTTGACTAAACCACTGGGAACCATAGCCCAGCCAAATTGACACACAAAATTAACCATCACAAGGAGAGAGTCATCAACTGAGTTAAAACAACGCAAAAACGTTTTACAAACTCTAAA